GTCTATATCTCTGACAAAGTGTTACACTATAAGACATACTGATACAATGTTATACTGTGTGTCTATATCTCTGACAAAGTGTTACCCTATAAGACATACTGATACAATGTTATACTGTGTTTCTATATCTCTGACAAAGTGTTACACTATAAGACATACTGATACAATGTTATACTGTGTGTCTATATATCTGACTAAGTGTTACACTATAAGACATACTGATACAATGTTATACTGTGTGTCTATATCTCTGACAAAGTGTTACCCTATAAGACATACTGATACAATGATATACTGTACAGGACTGGTATACTGTGTGTCTATATCTCTGACAAAGTGTAACACTATAAGACATACTGATACAATAATATACTGTACAGGACTGTTATACTGTGTGTCTATATCTCTGACAAAGTGTAACACTATAAGACATACTGATACAATGTTATACTGTGTTTCTATATCTCTGACAAAGTGTTACACTATAAGACATACTGATACAATGTTATACTGTGTGTCTATATCCCTGACAAAGTGTAACACTATAAGACATACTGATACAATGTTATACTGTGTGTCTATATCTCTGACAAAGTGTTACACTATAAGACATACTGATACAATGATATACTGTACAGGACTGGTATACTGTGTGTCTATATCTCTGACAAAGTGTAACACTATAAGACATACTGATACAATGTTATACTGTGTTTCTATATCTCTGACAAAGTGTTACACTATAAGACATACTGATACAATGTTATACTGTGTGTCTATATCCCTGACAAAGTGTAACACTATAAGACATACTGATACAATGTTATACTGTGTGTCTATATCTCTGACAAAGTGTTACACTATAAGACATACTGATACAATAATATACTGTACATGACTGGTATACTGTGTGTCTATATCTCTGACAAAGTGTAACACTATAAGACATACTGATACAATGTTATACTGTGTTTCTATATCTCTGACAAAGTGTTACACTATAAGACATACTGATACAATGTTATACTGTGTGTCTATATCCCTGACAAAGTGTAACACTATAAGACATACTGATACAATGTTATACTGTGTGTCTATATCTCTGACAAAGTGTTACACTATAAGACATACTGATACAATGTTATACTGTGTGTCTATATCTCTGACAAAGTGTAACACTATAAGACATACTGATACAATGTTATACTGTGTTTCTATATCTCTGACAAAGTGTTACACTATAAGACATACTGATACAATGTTATACTGTGTGTCTATATCCCTGACAAAGTGTAACACTATAAGACATACTGATACAATGTTATACTGTGTGTCTATATCCCTGACAAAGTGTTACACTATAAGACATACTGATACAATGTTATACTATGTGTCTATATCTCTGACAAAGTGTTACACTATAAGACATACTGATACAATATTATACTGTGTGTCTATATCTCTGACAAAGTGTTACACTATAAGACATACTGATACAATATTATACAACCAGTACTGGTATACTGTATATGTCTATATCTCTGACAAAGTGTATATTACTCTATACTTATAACCCTAGGCTTTACTCTATCTATATATCGACTCTATATAAGACATCTATTCAAACGGGGTTAATGTGATGAAATGAAATATATTATACATACTGGACTTTTATGATAAATCCACAAGTGAAAAAAAAAGTAATTTACTTCTCAATCAAAATCACGCTGCTGTCATGGTAACAGGTAAACAGATAAACTATAAATAAATAACATGGCTGTTTAATTAATGAACTCGATTGTGCTTCTTCTATGGTGAAAATCAGCGGTCGAACCAGCGATCCGTGATACACTCGGTACACGGTGAAAGCTCTATTGGGCTCAGATAGACCGAGGGTTTATTTGAATTGAAATCCATTAACGCCGAGTATATTATAGATGATAAGTTAGTCTATATTGATATATAAACAACACTGGGGTAAAAGACTAATGGATTAATGACAGATCACTAACGTAGAAGATGCTAACAGTGGCTCGTGTTGCTTTTTCCCCGCTGCATTTCATAGTCAATGTGGATTTTCTTTATTTAAGTTTTATCTTCGTAATCACATTATAAACTACACGTCACGTACATAAATGTATTAATGTATTTCATCCTAGAACACACCATCTACTGTTACTGATTATTCTTGTTTATACACTTCCGGTTACGGCCACCTCCCAATGTCCAGCTTAACCACTTTTTTGGTTCGGGAATACCCTCCCAAATATAGCGATGAAAATGTCACGCGAGTCTTGAAAACGAGGCAGTTCCTTTTGTAAACAAAAACATGTGATGATGAGCAGAAATGACAGCGATAGTAGTGACAAAGTCCATAAAATTCCGTTTTTCAGCTCCGAATTTTATAATGGATATGGCAAATAATATTTGATAACTCTAATTACGAAATAAGTAACATTAATTGCCAACCGATTCAGGCGGGAAGCCTTTTTTTATTGACAGGCGACGATGTTTTGTGCACATGAGTTGTCATATATGACGCTAAAAATTACCGTTGATCAAGAGATAAAGATTTTTTTTATAATTGTTAATTTATTTCTTTGTGTGAATTTCAGCGAAAACCAGCCGTCATTGTTCAAAAGGTGATACGCTTGATATATATAGATGCGATGATGAAAAAAAACAGTGAAAGGAAAAATCGTTATACCGTGATGTCACTTTAATCAGATAGTTGATAATATTTACAAAGTCTACTTTCCTTAGTGTAAATGTTTTAATATGACAGAAAAAGGCGTAATGAATATAGATCCACCATGTATCCCTAACGCCATCACCATCAACCAACGCAACCCTCTCCGCCCTCTAGTAACGTAATCATACAAAGTCCCTCCGGATTATAATATAAAGACGACACTTTTCGGTCATGTCTCGTTAACAGCTTCGATCGTTTCCGTGTTGCTGGAGGATTTGTTTGTGTCATACAACAAAAGAAGGACCAGAAGGAAGTAATTAGCGATCCGTTTACGACGCCAGACTGGACTGTCACCTGCCTGATGTCTGTAAGTGACACATAGTCGTTACGTACAGTTACCAATTCACACCAGATAAAGAATTAAACAAGAGTTACCCACATCTGTAAATGTGAACACAATACCTAATATCTTTTCTCTCATAAGATTAATGACTGGTAAATAATTATTATTTCCAAAGGTTCTCGAAAATTATGTAAAAAACCTCACACGATTGTAATCGTTTGTTTACTGTAAGCAAGTAGACCAATACCAGCTACAGAGACAATTCCAAACTATCTCTGGTATTCTTCATCCTTTACTGGTGTTCTTTGTCTGATTGTCTGAGTGCGATAAGTCATCCACTCTCCATACTTCATCTTTTTATTGAGTTATGTATAGAAACGGTTTGGCTGTGAAATTGTGCATGTTTTTAGGACACGTGTATTGTTTGGCAATTTTTCTGATGAATTTAGTTTGTTAGACATCATACAATCGGTTTGTTAAACAGTGAATTCACTCGTGCAATATTTTTCATTTGTCACTAGTATGACATACCCCGGAACGTTTTTCATTGGCTGGTGAAATCAGTTCTAATGTCATGCTTTGTTACAATAACGTTGCCTCGGGAGTCGAAAATGACACAACCAATAAGCTGCCTTTATGTAACCTTTGTCCTCCACATTTTGACTTTAAACCCTAACAGAATGCAACTTTTCTGAAGTATATGATAAAAAATACATTCAACTTGTTTTCATTTCACGTGAAAGTTTATTTTTTTATTGTTACTCACCACGGTTCGCACACATAAAAACTTCTAGGACTAGTTTTATAAAATCTCACACGAAATGAGAACTCATTGAAGATCATATATAGTTATATCAACAGCTCAGCCGACACACCAATCTGGTGTATAGAGGTAGCTATATCCTGTGTGCAGAGATAAATGTATCCGGCGTATAGATATACCAATACCTAAATCCGGTGTCCCAAAAATGATTCACCCTGATCTTCCTTCAGAAAACAGCGGAGCGGATTTTTAAGAAATTTGTGACACCCTGTCCAGGGCACTTTAAGATGTATAGATATTTGAGATAATCAGAGATATAATATGGCGTTATTCTGGATGTTTTTGTTCCGGGAAACGATTATCTGTTGTACTTGACATTGATTTATCTGGTCAGAGGTTGAACTTGATACTTGTAACAAACTAGACGAAGGTGAAACTTAAAGAGTCACATGATGAAAGATACAAAAAACATGTTATTAACATTATTTTCACATGAGAACAAATAAATCTGTTTTTACTTCTCGTAGAGCACTCCGCCGATATAACTACAACTTCATAAAGAAGTGACATATTAAGACCAGTATTGATGACATGTACGAGCCCAAGTTTAGTTAACGGGTTTAACGTCCACTACTATGGCCTTTCAGTGGACGAGCCCCAGGGTTACATTACTTTCATATGCGGGTACTGACTAAGACATCGGACAGAACTGAATGCCCAAGGCCTTGACATCAGTCAGTTCATCGACAAATTAAAAGGATAAAAAACATACTAGGTAGACCAAAGTTTTCAACAAAAAGGAAGTTAAAACTTCAATATTATTAAAAAAAGATACTTTTAAATCGGAAACAAAAATAACTGAAAGTCTAGACATTAAAGTTTAGACTTTAAACAGGAAGTCGGATGAAGGAATAATTAGACTTATTAATGTCACAATGGGGGAATGATCTAAATACAAGTAATTTAACTTAACAGGAAATGTTGGAAACTATCAACCCGAAAACATTTTATCTTCATATCCAAGTCTTAAGAATAATTAACGTACGGCGTTTTAAACATAAAACGTACATTTAATACAAGGGTCTGTCCTAATAGATAGTGGTATCATACCAAACAACCGGGTTTATTTAGTACAATATTTTTGTTTTAGTTGGCGATAAAAATATTTATCACAATATATTTCTAAAGAAAATTACACTTACCTGTAGTGACAAAAAGTATCGCCCATATTGCCTGTAATTTCATCGCCAAAAGTGTCTGCTTCCTCATCGTTGTTGTGGCCTTCCTTTCTCCTAGCCAGAATGTCCAGTGATATATAGGTGTGGTCAGGTGTAGAAGTGATTGATCTCTGTAGACCTAACACCCAGGGGTATCCCGCTAATCAGCTACAGGTGAGAATCAAGCTTGTCCATGTGATGTCAGGGTGGTTGTTCGCGAGCTGTCCAGTAAAACACTAACTGGTGACTTTTATTCAGTAATGTTTGTACATGTGTATATGTCAATGATGCAGTTATTACCGACACTGGTCAGATGGATACACAAGCGGCGAGATCAGACTGCCACAGGAAAACATTGGTGACGAAATTCTGTCTTAATGATGACAGTACAATATACTACACCGTTAATCGATAACAACGATCATCTTCTCAACACTAATTGGCTGTAGAAATGACCGAGCTACTGACCAACTCACAAAGGTTGATAACACACAGAGTACAGTGATAATTCTCAGATCATACTGATGTAGACCTTCTTCAATATGTGTTAATCGTGATTGACTACTCAGACTTAAACTCCCTACTGGGCCCAGACCATAAAAGGAGAGGGGCGGAGTCTAATTTTCAAACTTCTAGTTTTAGCAGCAGATAAGAGCTCAGAAATTTTCAGTAATTTGGTAAGTAACATAACGATTCAAAAACAGATTTTCTTCAAACTGAGGCCTAAGTTTCAGATTCAACGAAGAAGTATGCTTAGTTAGAAAGCAGTAGTGTTGTACAGTTTTCACCTGTAAATAGAAGTCCGGACATAATACTTCCACTTCTGAAGGCGTATGTTTAACTCTAGGTTATACAGGACCTCAAATGTATTTTTAAAATGACGACTCTTTTATTAGCCGATTTCTCATAAGCGTAGAGTTAATATTTCAGTTTTACTACTGTTTCGCTTTAAGTAATGCTACTAAAAAAAACTTATATATTAACTGCTTACATCAAATGTTACCTGAAGGTCTTCGCCAGTCTTCTGTTGTCATTAATGATAAAATCATTAATTCTTGATATATAATTTGATCTTTATCACACTATCTGTTTCATTGTCCTATACACGTGTGCTATTGTAGTTCATTGACAGAAACCACAACTTCATTATGAAAAAAACACTAAAATGTTACGGATTATTGTTTTCTGAAATCCAACATTATCATATTCACAAAGTAAAAACATCTCCAAGGTTTAATTCCCCTTTTAATTATTTGGTTGTTCTTCTCCCTGACAGATGCCGACACATACTTATTATACCTATATGAAAATAATTTTGAGAATAGAACTTGACTTAAACGCTGTGGTATAAATTGGTAACACCATAACGATGAAAACAGGTGTCCGTTGTATCTACTGGGTACAAAACATGTGGCCAGAACAGGATTTTGTTTGTTTGTTTGTTTGTTTGTTTGTAGTTAAGGTCCCGAATGTTAAAGGGTAGAATTATTTCAGATGCCTTACGTGTCCCGAGTAGGAGCCGTGGATTCGTGCACGGTATTTCCACGTTTGTCGCTAATAAGGCTAAATGGCATAATGTAATTATCACAACCTCGGCCTCATTTTTTCAATGAAATGCCGTCCATTTTTAACTGTCTGAATACTTTTGATACATAGAGGATATTAATAGTGTCTTCAGTAATAGCAAATACTTGTTATTACTGGAGACACTATTAAATATTCTATTTGGTATACTTTCACAAGCAAAGTAGTCGAATTACTGGCATGTTTAGAAGAGATTTAAAAACAGAAAGCCGACTAGGCTTTTCGCGGACACCACTCTCTCATTATAACTTCGCAGTACACGACAAAATATCGTCCATTTTAAAAATCATTAAAACTATGTTAACTCAAAAGTACATTCCAATGTCTCTTTATTTTTATATTCACATTGAAATCTTATCCATGTTACTAACATCATTTACAGTAAAACGTTCTGTACGTTTAACCTGTGACGAGTTACTACGCGACTGAAAATATAGCGCCAACCTACAGCTGTCGTTGTTGGTGACACAAATCCTCTTGAAAAAAAATGTCTAACGTGTGAGTTCCTCATTCAAAACGTTTGACTGGGGGTTAGTTTCGATGTCTGATTAGGTAATATGTGTTGCATTGTTTACTAACTTTCATGGAAATGAAAATTTACAATGGAACTGAATGTCATGTTTCTAGTAAACAACGCTTTCAGGTTCCTGGTGTTGTGATTATTTCTACAAAGCCTTATGATTTGTCAATTCTAAAATGATTTGTGTTGTTGTTTTTCGTTGGTGTAGAGATTTTTCACTGGCACAAATGTATTAAATGTGTATTAATTCTACGTGTTATGCGGTTTTAACTTGAGGAAATTATTCAACGAAATCATGTGAAGTAGAAAGTACTACCAAGCGGACATATGGACTGGGTAGGATTACCTCGTAGTAATGACATACTAGCTGATAATACAGGGACAGAGTATGGTTACCTCGTAGTAATGATAAACTAGCTGATAATACAGGGACTGGGTATGATTACCTCGTAGTAATGATAATACAGGGACTGGGTATGATTACCTCGTAGTAATGATAATACAGGGACGGGGTATGATACCTCGTAGTAATGACAAACTAGCTGATAATACAGGGACTGGGTATGATTACCTCGTAGTAATGATAATACAGGGACTGGGTATGATTACCTCGTAGTAATGATAATACAGGGACTGGGTATGATTACCTCGTAGTAATGACAAACTAGCTGATAATACAGGGACGGGGTATGATTACCTCGTAGTAATGATAATACAGGGACTGGGTATGATTACCTCGTAGTAATGACAAACTAGCTGATAATACAGAGACTGGGTATGATTACCTCGTAGTAATGACAAACACCTTGAATCTTCACCTCAGAAATACAAACCGCCGTCCTCGTATGCGTAATCTACTGAGCCATAGAAGACATTCAGAGCTAATTTTTAAAAAATAAAATCACGGAATCGCAGCAACGAGGTTTTTTAATCGTAACTCGTCGTGTGATGTCATCCCTTTAAGACGTCACAAAAGTCCTATTAGTAAAATAATGATGTTTTACATTAAAAAAGAGATATTATATGTATGTTTCCTCGACCGTGCATAGATAGTTTCCAGAGAGATGCTCTCAAGTGACCAAGACCCCAGCACCTGACTCGGCCCCTCCCTTGATACGTTTGTACTTACCTCCAGTTGGTGTTACACATCATGTGGCCAAAATCATGCATACACGTTTATCGATTTGTATCACACATATATCCTGTCGTTACGTGAATCGCTCTCGAGCTGACATTGCACACATATCATATGTGTAATTTCCTAGTAATTACAAGTGTGCTTTAACCTTTCCCATTGATTGGTCTCTGTGATGCTAAGAACAACTGGTGTATTAGTCTCATCTTTCTCTTGTCCATTATAAATATTGCAATACACACACACATTAGCACTACAACAGAAGGCAAGGATTAAGCGTGGCACATATAGCTTTATATAATTACAGACTGCTTCAGTGTCCAACACTACGGGGATAAACACACTCGTGATGATCGTGGCAGGACCACGTGACGTTTCCTTACACACATACACTGAACGTGTGTTCTGAATCAGATTTCATGTTGATAGATATATGGTTCGATCATTAATGCCAATTTTGATAAACAGATACGGATGATTTATATTATAATCATTTGGTACTCTTATTCATTGTCAACGACGCGGACATTTTCTCAGATTCTAAAATACCTATTTCGTCAATTCGAAGTGATTACGCACATGAAAAATGCTTTATGAAGATAAAAATATCCACACCTGTTCAATAAATCACATAATAAAAGTTAAAAATCTAAAAATTACACCGTTCAATACGGTTTTAAATCATGTCCTTTTTCACCTGAAGAAAATGAGCCGCAACTGCGAGAATGATGAAATTAGGCCAAGCGATTTTTGAAGACAAACCTGCGAATTCTCTACAAAATATCAATTTGCCAATTAACTATAACACACAAATTATCACACTTGGGTTAAACATTTGTGACTGTATACTACGTAAGGGCAGGGCCTTTCGATTTGCAGGTAATCTTATCTCGTTTGCTTATACATGGATACTGGAATGTATATAGAATAGCGATGTTAATTAAGCGTGACTCAGTTCAAGTATACCTGTCGTAGTGTGTGCAAGGGAAAGCCGGGGTCAGAACTGTATACCACCAAAATACGTTTAACTAGAATGAACAAGAAAGTAGCGCACAGACTGGGCAATAACTTTAATGACAAATACATACAAAAACACGAAGAGGGTAATTGTTACCTACGCAGGGATACATGGAAGGTAATACCTGAATTACAATATAGATATCAGTTCAAAATTTACTATCTGCTTTATATTATCTGTTTTGTGTAATTTTTGATGTTGTTAAGATTTCTGATGTTGTAGATAAATTAAAGTCTTCACTGTAAAATGTAAGTGTGGCCTTCATTGTTTACGCGACACTATCCAAACGTTGTTTAAAAGTGAAGAGGCTGTGTGGGTAATTTGAGACTCCAACGGGATACGCCAAACTCTGATGAAATATTGAATAATTTTCAGAGTAGAAGGCGCGTGAAAAAAATCTATTACCGTAACTGAGCGAGATCGGGGTATCTCAGTCTCGGGCTAAGATCTTGTAACATCCTAACCTCGGCTAATGCCTCTTAGTTGGGATTATGTTACAGGATCTTAGCCCTCGACTGAGATACCCCGATCTCGCTCAGTTACAGGTAACAAATTTTATTTATAGAAGAGGGGTAATAGAGCCAACACCGGGTGCTGTTCGGTAGGCGGTTCAGTCGGTTCCTTATCCTCTCCGTCTGGATACCCGAAAGTATGCAGGGTGATAGAAGGAAAGATGAAAATCAAAGGCGCCGTAGTCAATCACAACAGGCGAAGAGGCTGGGTTCATCAATTTATTTGTCGACCGGTTTCGCCCCTTATTGGGGCTTCATCAAATAAATTGATGAACCCAGCCTCTTCGCCTGTTGTGATTGACCACTGCGCCTTTAAATCTTATTTATGTTCTTAGAGATTTTGCGCCTCAAATCACCATGGTAATATACTGACGTTTTTATGGAAAATACAATTAGATCTAACTAGATGGAGTAATATCAAAGCAAAAGCATGACTGAGCTAGTACAGTTTTCTTTTTAAGCTGGCTAGATATTAGTGTATGTTTTAAAATCAACGAGAAATTAGCCTATCACAGCAAACAAATTTTGAAATTATATGTGGACAACTTACATACCTGTATGTTTATCCGATACTTCGCATAAACTCTATGATTCAGTTAGTGACCAAGCTAGACATTCTCCGATTCTCAATGTC